TCCAGGTGACCTTTATCTCAGACTTTGCCTGGCACCAGCTGATACTCCATTTCACACTGTCAGGTGCCAGCTCACATCACCTGGGCTTTCTAGGCTTCTGGAAATTGGTTTGACACCTTATTCAGAACTTCCTTTCTTCCCTGCAGCTGTCAGGGGCAGGGGTGAGGCTGCCCTCAGCCTCCACCTGCAGCTCACCGGAGCCTGTGCTCCCCCTGCCTCAGCAGAGACCAGCCCAGCACCTGCTCCTGTTGCTTTTGGAAGGGCTGCCCTTCTGACCTGGAGATTCCGGAGGTCACGGTGGAGGAGAGAGAACTGCCACCGTATGTGTGCACCCAGCTGCCACTCCCCTGGACCTCTGTCTGCTCGTGGGAGGACACCTCCTGCTGCCTAGCGAGTGGGCCAGGCCCACCAGGCCCTGGTCCAGGACAGGGCACGGTGCCTCCCTGCATGCTCTCAGGGCGCTCTGCCTTCACTTAATGAGGGTGAATATATTGATTACCAAATACCTGTAGCCGTTCACTGTGTTTTATGCCACTTTTCCAGTACGGGGAGTATTTGAACCAAGAGAATGTTGCTGAGGTGTGGACTCCTCACATTTGGGAGCTGGGGCAGTGGAGAGTTCTTACTCGGTTTCTCAGCCCTGCACGCCCCGAAGTGATTCTTCATGCATTAAATCACCCAATTTACTGAGTGCTGTGCTCCAGGGACTCTTGGGGGAGCTGGGGACTCCTGGCAGAGGACGAACAGGAACAGAAAGAATAGAAACTGTGAAAGTCCACCTGTGGGGAGTGAAATGGAGCTGAAAAAGGGTGTTTGTGCCCATCTCCAGGTCTGAGGTTTTACTGGGGACCACTGTGAACCGAGAGCTGTCCTCCCTCACCTGGCATCTGCTGTGGTGGAGACTGCAGCCCAGAACCTGCCACAAAGGGTCACCCAATATCCTTCTGGTTCTGCAGCTGGGAAGGCTTTCCCGCTGCACTGAGATAGTCAGATCTGTTCATTGCCTGGTTCCAAGGGCTCACCTTGGCTTAAACATGAGCCTTCCTGTACAAATCACCACACACACGCACCGTCTTGCAGCTTTTAGATTACTGCTATTTAGATGTCTGAGAGCCAAGAATCAGCTCCCAGAGAAAATGGGCTGGGTTAGTGGAGAACAAACAATGTATACACCAAATCAAGACCAAAATCAAAACCCAACAAAATAAATGATGTCTGTCCACTCCTGGGAACCCCTGAGGTGCAGCCAGGGGGTGTGCCCTGTGCCTGGACCTGTCTGCCACTGTTTATCTACTTCAGTGTCTGCTCTGAGACACGCCTCAGGTTGACTACCTCTGGGGTGGTGCTCCTGGTAACTGTTGGCAGGATGGGCCCCGGGACAGACACGCTTTGCCCATATCCTTCGTTTCTGCTTGTGGCTGAAGGCACCTGAGTCCGGGTGTCACCATCTGCCTGCTCTGTGAGGCCTCCCATCGCTTCCTGCCGGGGTGGGAGCCGCTCTGCAAAGCTCCAGGGAGCTGAGACAGGGTGTGGAGGCCAGGAGCAGAGCCACGGGCAAGCAGGAGCCCAGTGGTACTGCCTTAGGAGGAGCTATACGGTAAAAGGAGAAGCGGTGAGCAGGAGCAGGGGCTCTGCTTCCCGCCAAGGGTGCACGTGTGTGCGGTCACCGGCCAGATGCTGGCAGAGATTTGCCTTTTTCTTTCCTTGGGTGTGTTCCAGGCCCCCAGAAGAGCAAAGGTTGCAGGTGGAGGTAGGAGAAGGAATGAGAGTTGCGGGCTGGGATCTGGACAGAGGGCTCCACCAAGTAAGGTCCCAGTGGTGTGATGTGCCTGTGTCTGCCCTGGTGAACGCTTGTGTGGACACAAACCCACCCTCTTACTTGGAACAGCTCGCAGTAGTGGAGAAAGCACGTGTGTGGGGGGGAGACAGACCCTGCTTTGAGTCAGGCTGTGGGCATATTCTTAACCTTCTCGAGTCCGGGTTTCCTTTTTTTGCAAAATGGGAGTAGGCATTGCAGTAGGCAACTGGGAGAGTCATTACATTGTATTGTCGTTTGCTTTGGGAGTGCTCAGTGAGAAGGGGGAGCGATCAAGTAAGAGAACTATGTATGAGAAGACTTCGTTGTTTGTGAAAGATTGCCTTTGCGAAGAGATAACGTACTTGTTATACTAGTTATTAACGTGCATTTAAGTAGAATTCTCGTGCCAGCTGGAGTTTGTCATCATTTTATTTGGCTGTCATACTAAATCTTTCTTGGCTTAGTAGCATTATCAGCTCTCAGTTTTTAAAAAAAATTTTTTTTAATGTTTATTTATTTTTGAGAGAGAGAGAGACAGAGTGCGAGCAGGGAGGGGTAGAGAGAGAAGGAGACACAGGATCTGAAGCAGGCTCCAGGCTCTGAGCTGTCAGCACAGAGCCTGACGTGGGGCTCGAACTCACAAACCGTGAGATCATGACCTGAGCCAAAGTTGGACGCTTAACCGACTGAGCCCCCCAGGCTCCCCGTCAGCTCTCAGTGTTAAGATTTCCTGAGAATACTTGGGTTCTAAGCATGTTCCAGTGGCTTTGTACAAGATACAGTCACTGCCTCTGTTCATATGGTCCATCTGAGAGACAACCTGTTTTATTGTTTGGTGAGAGAATTCGTTTTACTTTTTTCTTTTTCTTACATTCGGTCACAGAACCTCTCCTGTTCTGCTAGTGTGCACTGGCAGCCATGTCAGTGCCTCTGCAAACACCTGTGGGAGGGAGGGAGCTTGGGAAAGAGCAGACCCTGGAGGGTAGTCAGCTTGCCTGTGGGTGGGCGGAATACTGGTGATGCGGATTGCTGGGCTGGGGCCTTCGATTTTCAGGCCACTCTGCCCTCTACAGCAGCATCCCAGTCTGGAGGGGACACCCTCCGAGCGGAAGGGCTGCACTGGGGATTCGTGCAGCTGTGGGTCGGCAGTTAACCGGCCAGGGCGTGGGAATCCTGCTCGTGTGGGCTCTTCCCACCACAAAATACAAAACCCTTTCTAAATGTCTCAGGAATGAGGGGAGGCAGAGCTGGCCTGGCTCTGCAGAATTGCTGGATCTTTTTCTGTTTGAATAGGCAAAGAAAAAGAGGCATCAAGGTGGTGACGCAATCTTGCGCAGTATTCTGAGAAAATAAAGGCGAAGCAGAATTAGGACTAGAAAGATTTGGTACGCACATCTGTGAGTGTATTGTGAGTGTGTGTGATGTGTCTGCCTGTGTGTGTATCTGTCAGCGTGCGTGTGTGTTCTGAAGCTGGAGGGAAATCTGTGGATAGATGCATAAGGGGTGTTCCCACCTTCACAGCTGGTCTCTGGGTGGTCAGCCGAGGGAGCAGTTTGAGCATTTTGGAAATGCCGCCTTTGTTTTCATGGAGAGGGGGGATACCACCATCAGAGCTGAGCGATTCCGGCTGTAAGCTCTGGGCACCAAGATGGACTGCTTCACGGGCCCGCTTCACGGGTTTAACTGCCTGGCTTTGGAGTCGCACCTGGTCTTGAGGCCATTCACGAGCTCGACTGTGAGATTGCTGTGTGAACAAATCGACTTTGGAGCCGTGCCCAGCCTGCCAAGGGAGAGGGAGGTGGGTGCCGCTGGAGAAGGAAGTGTGTCGGATGGAGAGCACGGGGCGGGGCCAAGTGTCTCACACAGATGTCTTTTTCTTTCTACGATTTATGGTCGTAATTAGCGTTAGTAGGTGGCTGACACTTAAAATGAAATATGGCCTTTCTTAATTTTAGAGCAGATAACAACACAAATAAATTAGCATATTGCATGGTGGGGTGGAGTATGCGTAACGCTTGCAGCTCTGCTGATAAACAACTTGAAATACTGCTGGTAGAAGTCTCTCTGCTGCATTTTTTAACCAGTTCCCTGTAAAGGATGGAATGAGGCACACGCAGATAGCAGGTTGTTGAGGGTCAGGATTCAAGTGTTAATTGCGGTGCGTTTCTCCTTCCAATTGAGTCTAATTGTCAGCTGTGATTAGAGCAGCACAGGAAGTGGGGAAAGGCTTCTTCCTGCTGCCTTTCCTCACAGTCTGTCATCTGCAAGTTCCATGTGACAAACAGGGTTGTTAATGTGAGTGAGTGGTGGGCCTGAGCATGGGGCAGCTCCTCCACGGTCTTCTGTGGCACTGGCAATGCGCTGGGATGGTCCTGGGCACAGAGAAGGGAGCATGTGGCCCTCTGAGCATCTGGGGCAGTGGGAGGGGCGACCAGACTGCCCGGGCTCCTTGAGAGACCCTGGGTGGTTTGCATCTGTTCTTCCGGCAGAGACCATCTCCTGGGTGGCTGGACTTGAGTCTTAAAGATCAGGCAGCCTGATTGTCCTGCTCATGAGACCGAGACTGGATGGGCCCGTTGCCTTTCTCAGGGTCACTCCTTCTGGGGGAACAAGACTGGATGCAGGTCTCGCTAACTCTCAGTGCTGGCTAACCGTCTTTTGGATGGTTCTTGGCAGTTTTCCTTCCAGGCTGTTGTACCTTTCCCGCCTCACAGGGCCTGCTGCGGGTACTCAGTGGGGAGGGCCTGTGAACGAGAGGCCCCAGGGGGCAGAGCCAGGGGGAGTGGGGAACAGGGGCGCAGTAACAGACAGACAGCAGCACGCGGTCAGTTCGTGGATGAAGTGGGCAGCGATGTGTGTTCCAACCAGACAAAGACAGCACGTGATATTTGTCATGAGATTATATGTTGCTTCAGGAAAGCAGACCCTTTGCTTTGAGTTGAGGCCCAGGTGGCTGACTGAGGGGCATCTCCCTGGGTTTGTGCTCCGGGCCTGCCCGTGGGCTTCTCCCAGGGAGCGCGGGGACTGTAATATCTCTCTCTTGAATTGTTGTGAGGGCACAGTGAAACTGCTTATTCTTGTGAATTCATGGCAGCGCTGTCCCCTGTTAGATGCTGCTCCTCTGCTTCTAGAACAGAAGCTGCTTTCGTAGCTTCTCCAGTCCTGTTTTTGTGCCTTCCTCAACCCGTATTTGTTTCAGGGGATGCTTCAACTCTGTGGATTTTACAGCAGTTCCCCAGTGAGCAAATTAACAATCAGAGACTGTACAGTGACCCAGGGGGTGGATCCCCTCATAGTTAATAATCTCTTCCTAACCTGCCGTTCTCTTTTGTGTATCCTGCTGCTTTCCAGCATCTGCATTATCTCAGCAAAGTCAGATCCAAAGAGCCTGCGTGTGTCCGCGTCGTTTCTTCGAGACTCGGGAGTTGGTGGATGTAATGGCCCTGGATAGCCGCACTGTTCTTTGTAGCGCTGACTCATTTCTCTTTTGTCTTTCCTCCCCAGGCTGTTTGTTCGAGGATGGCCTCTGCAGACCGTCTGAGACCTGCGTGAATGGTAAGTGTGCGAGTCCCAGCCGACATGCGGCTGTGGGTGTGGGCTTGCCTCTCTACCCTGCTAACCGCGGACGGGGCTCACCATGTGGAGGGAACATTCTGGGCGAGGTTCATTTTCTTTGATGCTCGCGAAGAGAGTTGTGGAGCTGAAACTTCTCTGGGCGTGATTAAAAAGTTAATGGAAACCTAACGGAAGTGGAACACATTGTTTATATGCACGTGTGTGTGTCTGCGTCTACATCTGCATCTGTACCCAGGATTTACGGCTGCTCACCAGCAGCTTTACAAGAGTAGGTGATGGAATCAGGTGCCCCGACTCCGGCTGGAACTGCCACATCCCTCAGCCTAGTTTTGCTCCGTCAGCAGGAAGCCGTTCATCCTTTAGACCACCTGTTTTGTTCTCATCAGGAAGAGAAGAGATGTCTGGTGCTTTGTGTTTCCGGGTAGAGCTCTGAGCCCTGCCAGTGGCTGGGTCTGGAGGGTTGGGAACGTGAGCTTCCCTCCACCACATCTGCCCTGCTCAGGAGAGGCCTGTGTGCTGTGTGATGGCGGCAGATCTGGGGCAGTGTGCCATTGGGTCGTGGCCTTCAAGCACTAAGGGAGGGCTTAGGGTACAACACCTGCACAGGGGCTCTGCCCTGTACTGCTTCTCCTGGAGCCACACGGAGTCTGCAGGTGGGCCCGGGGAGCTGTGGGAGGGCCCATGTGAGGGGCGCGCCTGTTTGCCTACTGCTCCTGGTCTCTCCAGGTAGTTCAGGGAGTGTGTTTTGGGTGTGGATTTTGTTCTTGCCTGGAGCCTGCCACAGACGTCTCTGACTGCCCCTGTTCTCTGTGCAAACGCGGGTGTCTGCGGGTGGAACCTGGCTCACAGAGGACCTAGACCTTGGAAGCCCTCCACCAGTAAAAGGTGCCTTGTGCCTGACCACCCCTGAGCTCAGTTGGTCCTTGCGGGGCCCACACGGGACACATTTGAGGGTCTGAAAGTCAAAAACCAGGTGCTTTGAGTGTCCCTTGGAGTGAACAGTGCTGTGGACCAGATCTGGGATTTCAGGGCTGGGAACAATCACACTTGTGTCCTGCTAGCTCATGTGCCATGGGGACAAATTGCTGACAACCCCGGATAGTTTGTTTTGTGTGTGTGTGTTTTCGGGGATTGGGGGAAGTTCTGTGCGGACTGTGATAATGGTGACTTAGGCTGGGGGAGAGTACATTAGAACCTCCATGATGGCGGGATGTAGAGTGTTCAGCCGTGTGGCCCTGCCAGCTTGAGCGCCTCCAACTCTTATACACAGTCAGGCCTCTCCCTTGCCCTCCCCTCCCAGGCTGCTTGTGATTGTACCCCGTGAAGCTTTTATTTGGAAGCAGGTTTTTTTTTTTTTTTAACATTTACGTATTTTTGAGAGAGAGAGTCAGAGCATGAGCGGGAGAAGGGCAGAGGAAGAGGGAGACACAGAATCCAAAGCAGGCTCCAGGTTCTGAGCTGTCAGCACAGAGCCCAACGCAGGGCTCAAACTCACAAGCTGTGAGATCATGACCTGAGCTGAAGTCGGACGCTTAACCAACTGAGCCACGCGGGTGCCCCAGGAAGCAGATTTTAAAAAATAATCTTACTTGTAAAAATGTGTCACCTGCCTTCAGTGAAGTTTGACTGTAAAGAAAATAGGTATGTGCATGTTTAATTAAATTGGGGATGTAAGCGGCAGCAGCACAATGGAAACTATAGTTCCGTTCACTCTCCTTTGTCCTTGACAAAAAGCAGGCCTGGAATCATAACTGTCGTGGGGGTTTTCCTTCCCTAACCTCAACTTGCCTTCCTGGCAGGGACTCGTATTAACATTATGTAAGATAACAGCTTTGAGTTCTTTGGAAAAAGAAAGCAATTTAAATGTAAATATATATGCAGGCTTTGATTTATGGAGACAGACAATATTTGATATTTTTTCTAATACAGCTAAAGTCTACGAAATAGCAAAGCAGGCATCATCCAGTCTCACAAAATTGTGTGCTATGAGTAGCTGATGGGGAGTTAGTAAAGAAAACATACTGTCTGGGTCTGTGGTTGCCACTTCATTCACCCTACAGGCGAGTGGGGCAAGGAGGCCCAGCAGCCCTGTAAGGATACAGAGGGCAGGCCCCTTTGGGGAGTCTAGAATGTTCTGTGGTCAGACACAGGTTTCTTCTCTTTTCTTTCCCCTCCCTTTCCTTTTCTTAGAATGGAGAGAGAAATATATATACCTATTAACCTTATATATATTTTCAAAGTGTCCAATAGATCTTTGAAATCACAATTAAAATTAAAATTTTTGCATGGGATAATGTACTTTATAAAGAAAGTCAATGGGGCTCCTGGGTGGCTCAGTCGGTTGAGAGTCTGACCTCAGCTCGGGTCATGATCTCATGGTCCGTGAGTTCGAGCCCCGCATCGGGCTCTGTGCTGGCAGCTCAGAGCCTGGAGCCTGCTTCGGATTCCGTGTCTCCCTCTCTCTCTGCCCCTCCCCTGCTCATGCTCTCTCTCTCTCTCTGTCAAAAATAAATAAACATTAAAAAAAATGTCAAAAGATAAACATACTTACCAGCTCACACATCTGAAGATGGCTACTGTAAAAAAACAAAAGCAGAAAATATCAAGTGTTGGTGAGGATGTGGGGAAATGGACCCCTAGGGCATCATTGGTGGGAATGTACAATGGTGCAGCTGCCAGGTTCCTCAAAAAATTAAACACAGACTTACCATATGATCTAGCAATCTCAAAAGAATACCTCAAAGAATGGAAAGCAGGGACTCAAACAGATATTTGCACACCCATGTTCACGGCAGCCTCATTCACAGAAGTCAGGTGGTAGAAACGACTCAAATGTCCATCGCCAGATGTATGAATGAACAAATGTAGTATAGATGTACAACAGAGAATCATTCCGCCTTGGAAAGGAGGGAAATCCTGACACCTGCTACAGGATGGCCGAACCCGAAGGACATGATGCTCATTATGTGAGCAAAGCCAGTCACAGAAGGACAACTGCCCTGTGATTCTACTTCTATGAGGTCCCTGGAGCCGCCAGATCCATAGAGACAGAGAGGAGAGGGTAGGCGCTGGGCTCTGGGGAAGGGGGATGGGGAGTTAGGGTCTAATGGGGACAGAGTTTCGGTTTGGGAAGATGGAAAGTTCTGGAGATGATAGTGGTGATGGTTGCACAACAGTGTCAACATGCTCAGTGTTGCGGAACTGTGCACTTAGAAATGGTTTCGATGCCACATTTTATGTTATTAGTCATGTTATTTAACATCACAATTAAAAACAAGATAACCAAACTGGGAGAACCATTTAGCAACATGTCAGTGGACCGGAGGTTCTTATTCTGAATTATGAAGAGCCCCTACACCCTATAAGAAAAATGCAAAGATTGAATAGGAAAACAGGCAAAGATGTGAATAGTAGTTTGCAGAGGAGGAAAGAAGATGGCCCACTTACTGTATGAAAATGTGTTTACCCTCAGTACTACTTAGGGGAAATGTGAATATAAAGCTTACCTGCAGATTGCCAAACATTCACATGATGAATGATACCCGGCACTGGTGAGGGCTCAGGGAGATGGGCCCAGATGCACTTTGCTAGTAAGCACATGAGTTGGTTACAGCCTTTTGGAATGTAATCTGGCAATATCTATTATATGAAAAATGTACTGATAACTTGATTTGTTTTGGGGATTCACGTATATAAAAGGGAGGGTATGCCACATTATTTATACTGGCAAAACCTGTAACACCTGTAAATCCACTGATACACTGATACGGGAAGTTTCATAACTTATGCTGGGTCTATAGTATGGAATATTACATAGATACTTAAAAAATGAGTTAAGTGTCTGTCTGTTTCCTGACCAGGAAAAATGTCCCTTGTGTGATAAATAGAAAAAGTAAGTTGCAGGGTAGTGGTTATAATATGATTCTGTTTTCTGGGAATGCTCCCCCCCTCCCACCCCCAGCAGATGACCAGAAGGAAGAATGTGTCTTTTGGGGAAACTAGGGGCAATTTGGGGAGGGTATATATGGGGGAGATTAACTTGTGTTTCAAGATCTTTGTATTGCTTTATGTATTAAAGCAATCTTTAAAAAAAGCAATCTTGTGTTACTTTTGTAATAAAACTTACGTAATAAAGACATTTCAGAGTCTGCTGAGCTGATTTTGAAAGGCAGACCTTTCAGAGGTTCAGGCCTGCTGAGTCAGGTGCTGGCCCTCAGCTCCCACGGGGGGTATCCCTGATGATTCATGAGACCCCTGTTCTGGCTTCACATGGAAGCTTCGAGGTAGGAATGTCAGGTGTCTCAGGTGGGGTGGGGTAGTACTGAGCAGGGACCTGGACAAGAACCGGCACACAGAATAGCCCCACAAATCCAGAGATTGACGCTTGGCGGGGGGGCCCTGCGGGGAGGGGGCAGCACCCCGCGTCTCCAGGACGGTGTTCTAGCTCCAGTAAACAGTATCTGTCAGTGGACAAAGAGCCTCAGTGGGCCCCACTGTGTGTAGAGTGGGGCTGAGGCTGAATCTGGGGGAGAGGTCAGCTGGGGTCAGTTCTCAGGCCGCATACCCCCGCTTCTTTCTCGTGTTGGCCCTTCCTGGGGTGCTGCTGCTGGCCCTCAGTGGGCCAGGGCTCTGAGCCACGAGCATGTGAAGGAACCTCCCTCCCTCCCTCTTCTCTTTCCCTCCATCTTCTCTTCCCCTCCTTCCTTCTGTCCTTCTTTTCCTTCCGAGACTTTCTTGAGGTGTGAAGGGAGCAGACCAAATAAATATTTTTGTTGGAAGTGCTCAGAACAGTTTTTTATTTTCATTTTCGTGTTTAGTGATCACAAGCTGGGCCTGTCAACTGCAGGTCGTGATCTACTGGGGTGCCCAGCATGCTGTGGAAAATCTGATAGACTGAGCTCTTCTGTTTTATTGCTCTAAAAAAAAAAAAGAAAAGAAAAAGAAGAAGCTTTAATTTGACAAGTGGGAGATGATGAAAA